AAAAAAAAAAAAAAAAAAAAAAAAAAAAAAAAAAAAAAAAAAAAAACAAACAAACAAACAAAACAAAACAAACAAGTGCAGAATGTTATGAAAAGAGTTTCCTACCTGAATAAATGTATGACATTCGTGCAATTGGATGGCAAGAAGAAAGCAATTTTGAACCAAGTAAAAATCGAACTATAGATGATGACTTTCATGCAGCAGCTGAAGTAATTTAATATGAAAGGCTTTTTAGTGCACGTAATTGTTTCATTTGCCTGACATTTACATTGGGAAAAAAATAACGTAAGAAATTGTTCAGAAGTTCAAGGGGAGGCCAACAACTATTGAAGGCACAGAAAACACTCAGCGGGAAAGAACCAACAAGCAATCAAGATACTGAAAACAATTTACAGCCAGCTTAGTAAAGCTGATAATAATGAATATCTTTTAAGTTTTACCTCATAGTTGAATTTGCGCTTATGTATGGGCTTGAATTTGCGTACATCCATAATGGTTAACTCATCATCCTGGTTTACATCCAAGAAAAAGAAGGGAAGAAAAAAGCGTGGGGAGAAAAAGGGGGGAAAAAAAAAAAGACCATCAAATTCAGAAAGTAATGAGAAGCATGCATCCCAGAAGAGCTGCCAAGAACAAAACATATGCAAAGCAATGAATATTGGCCAAAAAACGAAAGAAAAATCACCCTATTCCCAACAGCTATATGAGTCCCATCAGGCTTGTAAGTTATATTTATGTTTTCCCCACTGAGTTCTGCCTGCTGAGTGCATTTTCCACCTGGTAAGGTGAAGGCAAATGATAACGTAAATTGCGAAAAACTACAAATTCCAATATTGGCAGAAAAAGGAATAGCCGAATAGGAAACCACGATACTAATCTGAATTTCCAACCAGAAAAATAAATCAAAAGAAGTGGTATAGATCAGTTGAATTACAACAGCTTCTCCAAAAACCAGATCAAACACTTCTGGCCTAAGTGGACACATACTATTTCAAATATTTTACTCACAAAAGCCAAACAAGCTAATGTAAAATAACCAATTAACTTACTTCGTGCATCCCACAAGCGGACGGTCTTGTCCCCTGATGCTGTTGCAATCAAATCAGCGTGCTTTGGGTCCCAGCATAACTGATCCACACTATCTGTGTGCCCTTTGAGCTCAATGTCTTTAACCTTCCCCTATCATACAATGAAATAAATTAGCCGAGAGTGGAAAAATCAGCTAAAAAAACTTACCTTGCACATGAAAACTAACTCGTGAAGTAAGCAGCAAGACACACGATAACAAAAGGACCCCGAAAAGAAACTATACGCATTAGCAAATTGCAGCACTTTATCACAATCTAAGTTTGTCTGCAAAATGCATTATAAGCACATTTCGGGTCTACATCCTAAGTCCAAACCAATAAACGTACGCCATTAATCCAGTTACAGCAGCTGACACTCGAGGAATAAATCCCAGCCCAAATTTGCAACTACGCAACATTTTCAGAGGCCCCTCGATTTACCTCGAGGAGCTACGATTTGTTTCTGATAACTCAAATGTCAGAAGAAATTACGAGGGATTAAAAAAACCTGAAATCAAACCCAAAATCAGAAAACTAAACAAAAGGGGAAAATGTTAACTTGAGTAGAATCTCACATGCCCATGAGGTTCAATATGCCAAATTCGGGCCGTCTGATCAACAGAGCCCGAGGCTAGCTTCGTGCCCGAGCAATTCCAAGCCACCGAATGTACCTTTTTAATCGCGCTATATGTGTTAATTTGATTTTGAGGTAATACTAAATACTAACATGAAGTGTAGATAAACAAATACAATTACTAACCAAACAGATGAATAAATATGAAGAAGACATACCTTCTTCTTGTGGCCATGGTACTCTCTGCTGTGTAGGGTTTTGAAGGGCAGGGTTTCCTCCATTTCTGTAAGTAGCTCCGACATGTTGCTTCGCTCAAAGTAAGCCCGTCCAGGGCCGAAAATTCAATATTAGTCCTATCGTTTGGCCGAGTTCATTTTTCATTTTCTGTTGTGAAACATGTTGCATTTACTTGTCAAAAACGTGTGTACACTTTTTGCTTTCTTAAGTGCGTCTCAATTACTAGAGACGACACCGTATTAAGTGTAAAAGGAATAGCACCAAAGTGATGTCGTTTTGTACTGCATGAGCATATTAAATGCTCGGGTTTTCCCCTCTTTCATGCAATAACAGAACATAGTTTTCAGATATCGAAATCACACTCTTCGATCTATTTTCTCTTCAATTTTCACATGGTATCAAAACAGACGAGCCTGGTAATCGCTGCTTCCGTCTAGATCGAGCTCGATACACCATAGATTGCACAATCGAAGCTAGATCTCATCACTTTCATGGCGCACCGAGATTTCATGACGACGAGCGGGAAACAGGATCCGATGTCTCTCGGAAACTCCGATAATCCTGGTATGACACTAGTCACAAATCCTCTTACTGGTAGCAATTTTTTATCGTGGAAGAGATCGATGATTATTGCTTTGGGAGCTAAAACTAAGCTCGGATTTGTGAATGGTGAAGTAATTAAACCTAGTGTTGAAAGTGATGAGTATGCAGCATGGAAAAAGGTAGATTGGATGGTGTTATTGTGGATTCTGAGTTCATTATCAAAGGAAATAGCAGAAACTTTTGTGTATGTTGATTCTGCAAACGAATTGTGGGAAGATATATGTCAAAGGTTTGGTGAAAACAATGGTCCTATGAAATATAAGGTTCAAAGAGAAATCTCTAATTTGAACCAAGGAAATAAATCAATTATGGAGTATTTTAGCAAGCTTAAGAAGCTGTGGGATAAATATGCATGCTTAATGCCATTGCAATTCTGCAATTGTGAAAAAGGAAAGCTTGTAGTGCAACAGGAATCAGAGACAAAACTTATTCAGTTTTTAATGGGATTGAGTGAAGTGTATGATAATGTAAAGAATCAAATCATGTTAATGGATCCTTTGCCTACAGTGAACAAGGCATACTCTATGATTCTTACAGCTGAGAGTTAAAGGGCAATACATAATGAGTTTGGGGGGAAATTGGATAGCATAGCCATGGTGGCTAAGACAAACTATGGAAAAGGCAGCTCTTTCACACAAGGGAAATGAGGTTATGAAGAAAAGAATCGGGAATCAGGTAAAGGTAGAGAATTTCATAGAATGAGCAGGGAAGAAAAATATAGACTTATATGTGACAAATGTGGCATGAGGGGACTTAATGTGACAACATGCTTTAAGATTCATGGTATTCCTGATTGGTACAAAGACATGAAGGGGCAACATGGTAAGAGCTATGCAAATGCAGTTGAGGTCCTTGAACATGAGAACAAGCACAATGTTGGAGGAGAAGGAAAAAGGCAAGGAAGTGGACAGGACCTAAACTCTGTGATCCAGCAATTGCAGGAGCTTAC